GTACGAACGGTTCTTGCATGAGGCCCAATGTATTTATAGGGATATTTGCATTTTTGTCTTTTACGCTTTACACTGATAATTAGAGATGCATCGAGCGATTAGCGTGAAATTGTTATTGGTTGATTTTCACCTTGATCAGCTCAAATCGGTGACCGGCTGAACAAATCTTAAAAATGTTTTTTTTTTTTGCTGGTCTTTAAAGTAGGAATGATCCGATACCAGTTTTTCTCAAATCCAGTACATGTACTGTACATGTTTGGATACTTGCCGATACAGAGTACTGATACTAATTACTTATTGAATTGGAACCTAAACTTTACACAATAACTTTAAAAACATGTTTCTTTTATTTAGAACAAGGTGGATCTTCTTCCTTACAGCCCTACAGCCCCTCTGACCGGATCAAACCAAATACAGCATCATAAATACTGTTGCAACTTTTTAAAATACATAAAAATAACAAAAAAAAAATTCCAACTTCTAATAATTCCTTGAATGTGGAACTGACAAACTTTTCACTTGAAATGTAAACTGCAACACATTCARTGAAGTATTGATACTGGTACTGGTTTCTGTTCTGGATTTTGTTTTTTTGTACAAGTACTTGTAAAAATACTGATATCGATACTGATCAGGACATCACTAATCATCACAGCACATGGAAGCTCCAATAAACATGTCATCATCAGCGTAGAAGATTTTTTTTTTGTTGAAAAATGTTTTAGTTTTCAGTAGGGCTGGGCGWTAYGGCCCAAAATAAAAATCTCAGATTTTTTTCATCCCAAATTAGATTTTCGATTTTAATCGATTTTGTTTCCCACTTAACCGAGTGCCTCTGTTTCAGATGTTGAAACAAATATGTTGTACTCCTGCTTTTTGTAGCAAGAGCCTTCAAACAGATTTTGCAGTGAGGTGTTTGTTTCTCCAAGTCTAAGGTTGAAAAACCAAACCAGTTCCAGAAAACAGAAGAAACTGTGCCTTTTTTGAGAAGTAGATCCTCTTTGCTAGCTGCCGTATTGTCATGTTGTGTACCGAGCATCTTCAGGGACAGGTGGGAACTACAGAAGCCCCAAAGAGTGCACCAAAATTAAATCTTTATAAATGGCTAATTTAAATTAATCAATTAAATCGATTTATCGCCCAACACTAGTTTTCAGTCAGCAAGGATTTAAAATTGTATGGGTTCGTTCATTAAAAGAAAATCATATCTGATAATCGGTATATCAGGTCGGAGCTGATCAAAAATCAGATATCAGCATCGACCCACAAAAACCGAATGGATGCACCTCTAATGATGGTGATAGTTTGGTTTATGATGATCCTGATGAGGGCCAAAGTGCGTCGGTCAGTTGATGAAGTCCTTCTCTAAKTTTTGCTGAGTCTGAACCTCCTCACATGCATATTTATTCACAAGCTCATTATCATTTACCTCTAATTACCCAGCAGCACTGTCCCTTTGTGTGCCGGGGGGGGGGTCAGGTTGTGTTTAAGATCTATACCCCCTCCACCAACTTTATTTTTTGCACTTTCAGCTTTTCGAGTGATGGAAAATGTTCAGGCATTGTTCTAAAGCTGTAGGAGCAGGAGATAAGGCACTGCAGCGTTTCACAACGTGATAAATTTAGGTTCTCCAGGGTCTCTGTTCTAATTAACTGTCTTTCCTGAGGCTGTATTTTATGAACTGTTGCACGGCCGCRTTGAAGCTGCACTGATAGAAACTAAAAGAAGTGTTGGATTGCTTATTCTTTAATTAGACCCGTTAAACTTTAGACTTGAATTAAAGTCAAAAACTTTACTTCTGACAGACGAGTTAATAACCCAAACTTATGACTTTAATATGTTTTGATCACATAAAACAAACACTTGCAATACACTACAAACTTTTATGHTTTTGTAATAAGATTTGATCTTAAAACTTAATAGGTTGCCTTTATTTATACTTAGCTGTTATCTTTAATTTAATTTATATGTTCAATGCTAAACTCAACTTTTTGCACGTTTACTTTGACTAAATGATTAAAAAACTTAAAGTTTATTTTGAAATTTAGATTTTGAACTGATTATTTTGGCTGTTTTCTTAAACTAAGTTCTTAAGTTGCTCCACTTTCAGTTTTGGCAGCGGGAAATAAAAATTATTTTTAGGATGGGATAGTTATTTTTTTGTGATAAATAAAAAGCTGAAGAAAAAGGCTCAAACGTCTTTTCTGATTTGTCGTTGAAAGGAGTCTGGCWGCTTCTCTGCAGCCAACACTGGTTTTTAACTTTTGTTGTGAAAGCAGAAAGAAAAGAAAAACTCTTTCCTGGTTATTTTCCAGCCTCTGAAGCTGAACTGTGAGCTGTGCAGCATCGTCTCCAGCTCGGGTCAGATGTTGGGTCAGGGCGTCGGCCCGCAGATCGACCGCTCTCCCTGCATCTGGCGGATGAACAACGCTCCCACGCGGGGGTTTGAGAACGACATCGGCCGGCAGACCACTCTGAGGGTGGTGTCTCACACCAGCGTCCCCCTGCTGCTGCAGAAGCCTCAGTACTTCTTCGGGCAGAGCAACGACACCGTCTACGTGGTSTGGGGGCCGCTGCGAAACATGAGGAAGGACGGGAAGGGCATCGTTTACAACATGCTGCGCCAGGCGTCCGARAACTACCCCCACGCTCGGATCTACGTCACCACGGAGGACAGGATGAACTACTGTGACATGGTCTTCAAGAAGGARACGGGGAAAGACAGGTGAGCCACAGCTGCACTTTTCTCTCACATCATCACAACAACACGTTTTTCATTGACAGCTGGGCTTTTAGGTAAATCCTTCTTTTTCACATTCAAATCATTCAGTTGGGGTCTTTATAAAATGTAGTTACAACGCTTTAATCTGAATTCCTTCATATTCTAACTTTACCAGACCCTCTTTCACCCCTTTTCTGATGAGATGCTTCAAGCCCCGCCCCCTCCGGCTTCCAGACCAGTCCACTCCGGTTTGAGATGGGGGTGGGGGATATGCTTTCTAGCGGTGCAGTGATGCTTTATTATCATGTAAAATCAACTTTTTTGAGTTTTATATCATGTTATAATGTTATACTCTCATAAAAAACATGCCCAAAGCCTTGCTCTGACTCATTCATCATGTTTGAGAAATCCTGCAGYGTTTTTAGGAAGCCATGCTGAGGAGCAAAACGACAGGTGGGGACCAGAAATGCCTTTTGGGACCAGAAACGCCCCTGGGACGTGTCTTTAAGCCGAGCTTCCTCATGGCGGAGCGACACACACACACACACACACCCCGCCCATGACTCCTGCAGGCTCTCGGGTGAAACAGAAAGTGAAACTTAAACTGTCTGCGGAGCTCCTAACATTAGTTCTCACTCAGTGAAGCTCTTGGTGCTAAGTAAGCTGCATCATAGCAGACTCTAGAGACTCCCACCTCGATCCATCTAGCCTTTTTACATATCTATGGTTAAGCCTCACCTCGGTCCCTTCTACCTAATGCTACGTTCACATCGAACGCGTTTTGAGCAGCAAAAATGCGCCCAACGCCTCCAGTTGGACGCGCTGTGTTCAGACCAGGACAGAGACTAGACACGYRTCTGAAGAGGGAGGAGCGTCTTGGTTTTTTTTCCAGTCTGTCTTCGGTGKATGAAATAAAGATGAAATAAWGAAAATGGCTTTGCTTTATTTACTAAAGAGCAAGCGAACGTTGCGCACACAGCAGATAATTAATTCATCAAATAATTTAGAGGCGGTTTGTTCGGTTAGTTTCACCGCTTCAGGAGCTGTGAGCTGATGAACTATTCTTTTGTTCCGAGCTCAGTTTAACACCGCTGTCAGTTTAAAGAGCTGCTGACCCACATCGGTGCTGATATCTCCAGCCAGAACATCAAATACAGACAGTCGATTTCAGCTAAAGAGCTCCTGTCCGTCTGTTTCGGTTTAGTGGGCAACATTCAGGAAACTATCTCATGGAAAAATGAGTCTTTCTGATTGGTTGCTGCGGCGCGTCGAGCAGCAAAAGTTCAGATTTTTGAACTCGAGCTTCGGCTGCTTTCGCTGCACCGCATGCACGGAAAATGCTCTACCGCTACCTTCCGCTTCCTTGCGCGCCGCGCTAAACGGACCTGACGCGCCGCGAGACCCCTAGAGGCGCGTCCATCGTAGACTTTGCAWGTAAACCGGCCRCTCCTGMAGCTYAAAACGCGTTCGGTGTGAACGTAGCATAAATGCCCACTGACAGCTGTTTGTAATGTCTGTAGCATCATGGAAGTATTCCATAAMCCACTGGACAGATTTTATTGAACTTCTCAATAATTAATGATTGGATGAACATCGACAACTGATTAAAGTTTTGAAGTTTCCCAAATTCAAGCCGGCAGCCACGGCTAGGTGACATTATCATTATCCATTGCAAAAACGGCAATAAGTCKGTCAGATTTATAAATATTGAGCTAAATCTGGTGTGGAAGTAGCTGAGAGTTATCCTCACAAAATCTCATGATGTCACTCAAATCGTCCTGACCAAGGTTTGACCAAAACGTCTGGACTTCTGCTCACCTCACCATGGTTTTAGTTTAAAACTCTGCTACAGACGGAATGTTAGGTCTTGTCATTTCTCTGTGCTTTTCCTGTTTTATGTCCTTTTAACGAGCTTTTATCAACCCGGCTTTGCCTCTGAAGAGCTTTAACATGGCGTACGGGGGGCGTTTTTATAAAATGAGTTTTTGAGAAGAGCCTCGGAGGGAAAATGATCAGCCAAATGTTGGTCTGGGGAAAAGTCGAGTTAATTAGGTAGCGTGATTCTGGCAGCCGTTCTAAGATGCAGCTGCCTCCATATCTTGATAGTATCTGAGCGCGTTCTGGTTCTCAAATGAATCAAGCCACGGATCGATGAAGTTATTGTTTTTGTGAGATTTATCATCATTTGAAGGTGACATTTTGCGACAGCGTATGTTGTAGAACCGCACCCCGTACCTTAGAATCCRTGTTTCTCCTCTTTCTAATAATCCCCCAGAGAGAATCACAGCTTAATGACCGGGAACGAGACTTGTTTAGGGTAAACCTCATTTCTCACTCGTTTCTGCTCGTTCCGCTGCACTCCTGCCTCTCCTGCATGTCATCAAGACCTCTCTTAACTTCCTAAGAGGATTAAAATGTTTGGCAATAGGCGTAGCATCCATTCTATTCCTGCTCCATTGTGTGGCTCTTATTCGGGATGGCGGGGTTGACACAGAAATTCGTGTTGAGCGTTTGTGTTCATCTTGGCTCAGCTGCGCAGATTGAGGTGTGGGATTAGGGAGGGATGCTCAGGGAGAGGAATCTCATTACGGGACATAATGCTCCTGGATAAGATGCTGCGCTTCAATCAATGCTGACTGGTAACACAGACCTGACTCCAGGCGCAGCTACATCGAATGAATATGCGATGAAGATTTTTTTTTTGTCCTCAACTCTCGTCTGCAAAAACACAAGTGTCCATGGAAACAGTTTTTTTGAATTAGCTTAATCGGAGAGTGTTTTAATGTAATCAGGAGAGAAATTGGGCTAATACAGTGTGATCCAGCCCTGCAGCTTTCTGTTCCACCACGCYGGCTTTAAATCTGAGACCACAGCAACCTCTTCACTGCAGCAGCTCCTCCACTTTTACCCTGTAATTTGTGTGTATTTGTGCGTTCACTGTCAGCGCTTAGGAAAAAAAAGATGGAACAGTGATCAACACAACTCTAATTATCCACGCGACGRCTCGGCTTCCACTTGCTTGCCTGATCAAGAGGAACGCAGCGCAGAGCCGAGCGGGTCTCCAGCAGACCATGTAACCGACTCGATTCGAGCGCTCAGTCAGGAAACTCAGTCATCTCTGCGCCGAGCTGAGGAATTAAACTTCAGGAGAATTAAACAAGTGGTTATGAGTACAGAGCAGCGAAGCTGATTTAAGTCAGGAGGTCAGAGGAAACAAACGACTTCTGCTTTTCAGGATGAAGCTTATAAAACTGTCAGAGACACAGTTTACAAGAATGTCTTCATCAAGAGTCATTTAAGAAAAGTAATTTACCATTGAGACTCAAATGCTTTATTTTTCATTGTTTCAGCACAGACTGGAAGATCAGGAGATTGCACATTAACATTATGTGCAATCATGTACTATTGCAAGATCTTTGATCTGTTTTATGTTAGCTGTGGAAAAATTAAATGCAATGTGTCGAGCTCAGCGCATGCGTTAGAGACGTTGCTTAGCCACTACCACACCAAGCTTCAAATAACATCGATGAACAACRTCYCYCACCCCATGCATGAAGCRRTGACTGAACTGGAGAGCTCCTTCAGCGACAGACTGCTGCATCCGAGGTGCACAAAGGAGCGTTATCACAGATCCTTCCTCCCAGCTGCTGTCAGACTCTATAACCAGCACACCACACCCAAAAATCACAAGTGTTTACACACCTCCTGCTGCACAATCATTTTACTGCTATTATTCATTATTAGTCATCTGAACAATCATTTGCACTACTACTCATTTGTATAACTAATCTGAGCAACCACTTGCTCTGTGATTACCCATTTTAACATTTAAAATAACTCTTCTGTAATTGCACATSTGTGTTCTTGTCTGCACTGTGATACTTTACAGTTAATAGTCTGTTGAGATTGKTTTGCACTGAAAATAGGCAAATTCTAATTAYTAATGTCAAATTTTGACAGGTAACTAYAGTCTATAAAACAAGGCATGTCTTTCTTTGTTMTTGCACAGTCCCTTATATTATATTTCTATTGTTAGTAGTATTATCATTGCTAGTTAGTGGTAATTTTGTTTTGTGTGCATTGTCTAAACTAGTGTGTGAACCTCTGTACTGATGCTGCTGTGACATCTGAATTTCCCCTCGGTAGGTCAATAAAGGCTATTTCTCTTCTTCTATTCTAAATCTGTAAAACTGATCAAGTCATAGCTGCTTTTGTGTTGCTAAAGTTGATTATCTGTGGCAGCCATTTTGACTTGGATTGACTCAAGAGTCCCTGAGTTGTAAATGTCCATCCAGTGATCGGCTGTGTGTCAATTCAGAGGCTGCAGCCAAGCRTTTCCATACGTCATGTTGTAAGGATTGTCCGTAAATTACACCAATTTCCCCCTATTTTGCTGGTAAACGGACACGTAGAGAAATCTCACAAATTTTTCAAAAACTTAGAGTCTCAGAGCCTGTAGGACGTAAAAACCCCACAATAAATATAGTTAAATAACCACCTCTCATCCTGCTCTGCTGCTAGAAATAGGTTACCCATCTCTGACATGTATGCATTGGTAGGCAGGTTACGTCACTGCACCGCACCAAAGGCTGGCCCGTTCCAACAAACATGGCCCACAAAACCCTAGGCGTTTACAGACGATGTCATATAAAACATATCACCACGATAACGGGGTAGCGTGTGGTCCAGCCTTCCTGGACTGCCAAATGTGTGCCCTACGTTGGCCGTGGTCTACGTGGGCTGCAGCCCCAGAATTTAGACACAACCATTATTTTCTGAAGGTTTCATTCAAGTCCATCCAGGGTTTTTAAAGAGTTTTTGCTAACAGGCGAGCAAAGATGACTCCAGTTGTCCGTGTCAAATTAAACAAATTAGTTGTCAAAGTTAAAAAAAAGTTCTACTTTAAGCTGCTACTAAACCAAAGTTTAGCCAGCTCAGTATCTGTAAAACTGCCTGAGTTATATCTGCTCCTGTGTTTGCTGTGGCGGCCRTTTTGAGTGGAG